TCATTCAGGCACTGTCAGAATCCTTGTGGGGCCGGCGGCCCTGGGACATTGCAGCCTCTGAAAGGAGCCTGACTCAGGGTGAATCCCAGCCTTGTTGCTTGTCAGCTGTGATGCTGTGAGCCACGTGCTCCACCTGCCTGAGCCCAGTTCCTGCTTGGTGCGGGGTGGGAGTTGGGGGGAACAGTGGGGACACGCGCTTGGGAATCCACGTGACCTTATCCAGGCCGGGTTCTCAGCAGCACACTTAAGCAGCAGTGGCGTCAATGCCATCCGGGTCACTGTCCAGCCTCGAACTCCGGGACTGCAATCCCAGCTCCCTGTACTTGCCCCTGCTGAGAAGCCAGCCACCGACTCTGATGGTTGGGCATTCGTGGAGCAGCCGTTGTGTGAGCCACAGAGATTGGAACCTGCCAGCTCATCAGAAGGTGACAGGAGTCAGGGGGTTGAGACCGTTAGAAACCACATGAAAAAGAAGCCTTTGGGGATGATCTGGTGTGGGATAGATAAGGACTGATTAGATGCAGCGGGGGACTCTGGGCATTGAAAATGTTTAACTGAAAGCAGTGCTTCTCAATGAGGGGCCGAACCAGCAGCATTGGAGTCACCTGGGAACCCGTTAGAAAGGCAGGTGCCCCGGCCCCGCCCCGGAGCTACTCAGTCAGAAACACGGGTTGGGGCCTGGTCGTCTGTTTGAACAAGCCCTCCGACGGATTCTGATGCAAACTGGAGTTTTAAGAATGCGGGTGAGAAGGAGCCTGGGTTCCAGGAATAAATAGTCAAATTCCAGATCTGACCTGCATGTGCCAGCATTTTCCGGAATGGGGCCGTCTCGGATATTCTGCCCCCTTAGCTAACCACATATCAGTTTGGAGAGATGTCTCACTACTCAAGCGTGGCCTAGGGACCAGCAGCCGCCGCCGCCTCCAAGCTTTCAACAAGCCCCGTGGGTGACTCGTGTGCGTGGGATTAGCTCTCAGGCACACCTGCAGGAGTTGGGTGGAGGAGGTAAAGGAAGCCACCTTGGAGGCAGCACCTGCAGACGGTGGAGCCTGTTCTGCAGCTGAGGAGGCTGGGCTCAGTGCGCTTTTCACACCCCTTCCCTTGGGCTGGGGGCCTTGGCGAGGCATCTGAGGATGGAGGTGCTGCAGAAGCTGCCATGAGATCATGGTGCCTGCTCCCCTGCCCCATGTTGCTACTAGCTGAGCTCCCTGTCACCCTCCAGGGCAGCTGAGAAAGCTCCACCCCCGGGGCCGGGCCTGCAGGGGGCTGGAGAGAGGCGGGGGTCTTAAGCCTTCCTTGCTCAGGTCAGAAGTCTCAAAAGCTGCAAATTCTTGGGACCCATGGCCCTGACCACTTGTTGCTGTCCTCCTAGGTGTCGAGGGGCCTGACCCTGACACACACTAGCTAGGGCTCCTTTAATTAATGACTCACCCACCCCTCCAAACTAGAATCTTCCTTCTCCCACCCCTCTGGCCCCAGGAAATGCAGCTGAGCCACCTGGAGTGAGCCTGAGTCCCATCCCCGACAGCCAACGACTGTCTGGCACCTTAAAGGTTGGATTTGGTGGTAAGGACCAGGGACTGGGGCTCTGTCTGTACAGAAGTTTGGCTGGAAGCAAAGAAGGTGGATGGGAATGTGGGGAGAGGATTGATGGGGATGGGGAAGGTTGGGGGTTTGGGAGAAGAGAGAGGGACGGGGGAAGAGGTGAGGTGGTTTTGGGGTCTAGTGGGAGGGCAGGAGTGAGAATAATGTAGGTAGGGAATGGGGGAGAGGAAGGGGGACCAGAAGTCACGGGCAGATGCATGCAGTACCGTTTGGAAAGGGGGAGCCGCCGCCAAGGAAGCGCGCAAGAGCGGCTCAGGGAGCTCTCACTGAGTTGGGGAGAGAAATAAGGATACCTAGAACTTAGGGAGGGAAGAAAGCATGAAGGTCATGCTTTCTCTCCACCGTTCTGCTGCCTCTAGCCATGGAGGGACAGACCCCAGGAAGCAGAGACCTTCCAGAAAAGCCTCACCCTGCCGCGGCCGCTGCCACTCTGTCCTCAATGGGTGCCGTCTTCATCCTCATGAAGTCCGCGCTGGGAGCTGGCCTGCTCAACTTCCCCTGGGCCTTCTCCAAAGCGGGCGGCGTGGTCCCTGCCCTCCTGGTGGAGCTGGTAAGTCCCCGGGAAGTGAGTCCAGGGGACGGGTACGAGGCGGCTTTGTTTTTTCTGGGTGGGTTCTCCGCATTGCTTCTGCGGAGTTGCGTGTCCTGTAAGCTATAGCTTCGGGGTTTTAACTGCTATCCTGCTCAGCTAATGAGGGGAGAAGTTAATCCCACTGTAGCCCTGGGGCGAGAATACCCCTATGGGCCCCGGTGATGTCTGATACACAGCTCCTGGGATGGAGCTAGAAGCGTCACAGCTGTGAAGTGGACATTTCACCCGGGAAGGAGGCTCTCTGGGCACCCTGCCTGGTCAGCTGCTCTTTCTTGCCTGTTGGTCTCAGCTCAAAAACTAAAGCTGGGCCAGGCATGGTGGCTCACGCCTGTAATCACAGCCCTTTGGAAGGCCAAGGTGGACGGATCAGCTAAGCTCAGGAGTTCAAGACTAGGCTGGCCAACATGGTGAAACCCTGTCTCTACTGAAAATAAAAAAAAATTAGCCAGGTGTGGTGGTGGGCACCTATGATCCAAGCTACTCAGGAGGCTGAGTCAGGAGAATCGCTTGAACCTGGGAGGCAGAGGTTGCAGTGAGCTGAGATTGTGCCACTGCACTCCAGCCTGGGCGACAGAGTGAGACTCCGTCTCAAACAAAAACAAAGCTGGACTGCTGTGTGCAGATTGAGCCGTTAACTGGTGTGACACCTCCATACTCCCCACGCAGAGCCGGGCCAGCCTTGCTTGGTGTCGGATGTTCGGCTCTTCTGCCTGCCAGGTGCAGAGCCGGGATTCCCTTCCAGGGAAGCGCGGACGCCGCGCTCTTTTTGCTGCGGGAGAACCACTCATGAGCACAGCTTTATTTTCTAAGATGCTTTTCCCCTGGCTGATGGAATGAGTTGCTGCATTTTGTGGTGAGCTCTTTGGCGGGTTTTATCTCACATGTTTTATAGCAGCTGGTGGATAATGGCTGAGTTCCAACTGTGTGCCCTGAGGCTCCTCGTGTCTGTTTGGAAACTGCAGTGTCGGGTGTAACCCATGCCACCCCTGGCATTGGCGAGCGCCTGCCCCGTGCCTGGCCTAGGACGGACGAGGCAGTGCGGTCCCTGTCCTCATGGAACTTTGTTCTAACGGGAGGTCAGACAAGATGCATGTCATCAGTTTCAGATGGTGGATCATGCCGGGAGGGTCATGTGTCTCTGGGGATGGGGGGATGATACGACACAGTGTGGTCAGAAGCCTCTCGGAGGAGGTGACCTTTGCTCTGAGCCCCATTGGAAATGGTAAGAGCTTCCTGAGGTGCACGTGAGGGGGCGGCATGCCTGTGTTTGGACTAGTGCGTCAGGAAGGCTGCCCTTACGGCAATGAGGGAGCAACTGGATCTCAAGCCACAGAAGGCCCAGGGTGAGGCAGTCGGGGCTTGGGGGTAGGGCCGTGGCCAATCCCTGGGTAGCAGGAATGGCCATGAGCCAGAGAGGGGGATCCCTGCTCCATGAGCACCATGCAGGCGTCTCCTGCAGATCTTGCTGAAATCAGATGCTGGCCCTGCAGGGCTGGATAGGCCTGAGACCGCGTTTGTGACTTGGCTCTGGGTGAACGGCTGTTTCGTTTTGCTTAGGATGAGCTCGAGATCCCTTCGCTCAGCAGACTTGAGAAGGGAACCCGGACATGAATAAGTGGAAACTCATGGCAGAGTAGAGGAGCCAGGCTGGCTGTTGACAAGCTCCCGCCACTCCAAGTTGTTCCTTCAGCCTCCAGGGCTGCCGGGGAGATGGAGGTGGGGCTGGGGTGATGTCACTGAACGACGGAAGATTTGGGGGAGGCTGCTTCCCTCCACTTAGCTTGTGAGGCTTCTGCATGGGGAGCATTTAAATGTGAAGTCAGTGGGCAGAGGTTGGAAGCCTGACTCGTTAGGGTTGGAGGTTTAGTGACATTTGATGAAAACAGTCTAGGGCCATACCACCCTGAATGCACCTGATCTCATCTGATCTCACTAAGCAGGGTCAGGCCTGATTCGTACTTAGATGGGAGACATTTGATGTAAATGGACAAACCCCCTCTTGGGACCTGTGGAGGGGCTGGGTCTGGCACGGTGGCCGGGGCTCCTTGCGGTTCTGCTGCCCGGAGGCTCAGTCCCTCTTGTGGTGACCGTATCTTCCAGGGATGGCTCACCGGTGAGGCTCCCTGCACCCACACCTTCCCCTGCCTTTTTTTTTTTTTCTTTCTTTTTTGAGGGTCTCACTCTTGCCCAGGCTGGAGTGCAATGGTGTGATCTCGGCTCACTGCAACCTCTGCCTCCCAGGTTCAAGCGATTCTCCTGCCTCAGCCTCCCTCCCGAGTAGCTGGGACTATAGGCACATGCTACTACGCCCGGCTAGTTTTTTGTGTTTTTAGTAGAGATAGGGTTTCACTGTGTTGGCCAGGATGGTCTCGATCTCCTGACCTCATGTGATCCACCCACCTCGCACTCCCAAAGTGCTGGGATTACAGGCATGAACCACTGCACCTGGCACCCCTGCCTTTCAACCACAGATGTTTTCTGAGTGTCTGCGTTTGTCAGGTCCTTCTCTTGGGCAAAAGAGAAAAAAGCACACTGCCTAGTCTTCACGGAACTTAGAGCCTGGGTGAGAGGGCGTTGGAGAAATCCCTCAATATTTTAGAATTGGACGTGTCCGTTTCCTGGGACTGCTATAACATTACCACAAAAAGGAGGGCTTAAAACACTGGAAACGTATTTTCTCACAGTTCTGGAGGTCAGGAGTCTGACATGAAGGTGTCAGCAGGGCCTCGCTCCCTCCAAAGGCTCTTCCAGCTGGTGGCTCCAGGTGCTCCTTGGCTTTGTGGCTGCATGACTCCAATCTCTGCCTCCTCCTCCGTCTCTACAAGGACACACCTCATTGGGTTGAGGACCCACCAGATCCAAGATGACCTCACCTCAAGATCCTTAATGACATAGGCAGAACGGTTTTTCACTTAGGTTTTCCTTGTGGACATCTGCAAAAACTGTTTCCAATAAGCCACATTCACAGACTCGAGGGATTAGATGTGGAATGCTCGACCACCATGCTTGGCTAATTGTGATCTATTCAGACAATGGCCTGTTAGCAAAAAACAGAAGCAAGCTGCTTGTGCGCACGATACGGATCAATCACACACGCGTGGTGGAGTGAGAGGAGCTGGGAATTACGTAAAGGGGGAAAATACTAGACCAGTGGGGATGGGAAGGAGACAGGGGACTCGTGGGACCGTCCAGGGTGTGGTGATGTTCTGCCTGTGGGTAGAGGTTTGGCTGGCACATGTGCATTGTACATCTTCCAGCAATACACTTAAGATTTTGTGCATTTTTATATGTAAATTTTCACCCCACAAGAGAAAAGGCCTGTGAACGAACAAACATCAAGCTCTAATGCTTGGTAGGCATGCCAGAGTATTCCACGGAACGTACACCGGGATCTGCAACTTGCTTCAAAATGCTAATCCATTAAGATGGATGGATGGCCGCACAGAGGCATGGGTGGAAGGGTAGAGAAGTCAAAGCAAGTACAGCAAGCTGTCATGGGGAAGTCGGGTGGTTGCCCACAGGGGGTGTTCACTGTAACATTCTTGCAACTTTCCTG